CAGAACAGATCACTAGTGACTGAAAGTTGCCACCATGTGATTGATGATTGTTCAGTCTTGTTTTATTTCTCACAGAGCATGTGGCCACATCACATAAAAATCACAACCTAATTTTGCATTAATTGGCAATCCGAACTTTGTTGGCAGAAATGTTCTGAGGAAAAATTCCCTTTGTGTCATATGATGATGCAGTCTAAAAATATCTACTATATCAAGTTAATAGACAATAAAGAGGAGTAAACTGTGATTTGAAAACTGTCTGATTTGCTTAGAACATGAACAGTTTAGTAAAACATAATATTTAATTACCACCAACTTAATCCCTGCCTTAATTGATGGCATTTTATCATACGGGCTGTTTCTGAATGAATTTACTTAAATTACTGTGTTTTTCAGGTGCAGATCAAGCTTCAGTGACAGCTCACAACCATATTCAGCTGGTGAAAACACAGGTGCAAGATGTAAGACAGCTATCACAGAAAGCAGAGATCAAATTAGCTGAAGCTCAGACAGAAGAGCTCATTAACACAAAAGTTGAGGAATCATCACAGCCATGCAGAATCCCTGAAACCACAGAGGAAGTTGATGAGTCCTATCTTCGTGAAGATTGAAAAAACAAAAAACCTTCTAAATATCACCTTTGGAATATTTGATAGCATACCACTAATTCCAGGGCCCTGAGTTTCCCACATCGTTAAGAAAATAGATGTTGGATAAAGAAAAGTCATTGAAGACAGGCATGCTATCTTTAGAATTGGTGACAGTGGGCAATAATTCTCTTCCCCACAAATTTGCTATACCTAACCACCAGCCAGATTCAGGTGTTTGAAACTTCTTTATTTTTTAAGTTACCATTATTATAATATGCATTGCCAGTACATTTTTATTTAAGTGTACCACTATGCAAATGTGAAATTACCTGTTAAAGATACTTTGTTGATGAGTGTTTGGGTCTGCTGCCATGAGGGTCTAATTCAGATGATTTAATACTAAACCCTTGCAAATGCCCAATGTCTAAAACTAATTGTAGATTGCAACCAAAGAGGGACATTTAAAAATAATTATTTCTAGTCTGTGAAGCAAGTTAATCTTGGTATTATATCTCCCATTGAACAACAGAATTACATTTCATAATCAGAAAGTCAGTTTGGTTAACAATGTAGACTTTTTTGTGCCGTTTTCTAATTATTTTGACTGACAATTCATAATGGAAATCTCATTGTTTAATAAAACGCAAACTACTACACTTAATTGTATCAAAAGATGACAATTGATAGAATTGCTACAAATCTTGGGAATCTGTAGGATCTACACTCAGTGATTACTGTAGTATAGAGTATGGCAGTTGTGTGTATGCAGAGTTGCTTGTAATCTAATAGGAACATAACCAGCAAGATGCAATACAGCTGGTTTTCCAGTGGTAGTGAAGAAAGGATTTTGTTGCTGTACCACATTTAAAAAACAGTGTTTATGTCAATAGGGAACATAGTGTTGCAAAGGCAGACACCACAAATAGTGGCAAATGCTATTTGATCATAGAACACTGCTCCGACTGTGAATTTTCAAGCAGCATAGCTGCAGTCTGCCCCCAATTGCACAAAAAAAAAAAAAAAGCTTCCTCCTGGATTGTCAAATGACAATGTTTCACTGCAGGCTGTGTTTTCAAGCCACATTTCAACAGTTCATGAGTATCTCATTTCTTTCCCTTTGTCATTTAAGCAGTTTGTTAATTTCATAAGGTTGTATTTCCCCAAATTCACGTGTTTTACAGTCTGTACTGTAGAATAGTGGCTGCTAGATTTTTATGAAGAGCTCCCTTTAATATTTGTGTAATGTTGAATTACAAGACAAATGACTATTGGTAGTAGATATCAAGCCAACAGGTATGGTTTAGGGAAACAGACTTCTGTGTATTAGTAATTGTTAAAAGTGCCATTTTCTACAGGACCCCAGTCTGTGTGAAAGTTCCCTCCCCAAAATTTCTTGATATTCTTGTGTTAGATTATAGGTTTTGGGTGGTACTTACACTTGTTTTGGCATTTATAACTAGCAATGTGTGTTTGGAAGTCTTCCAGCCCAATACCACCCTTCCTGAATCTTTCTGAACTTCATTTCTGTTTTACCTTTTTAACAAGGGGATCGGATCCCTGTAACACTGTGTGACTGCAGCTAATGGGGAGTTTTAAACTCTAGTTAGATTACTCTGCACTCTTTTCTTGTGTAGTTTAATCCTCGGTCATTTTAACTCTCCTGCATTAGTAAGAAATAAAATATTTCCTGATATTTGCTTTGTTGTAATCAAATGTTTGGGTTTGCCCTGTATGTGCAAAGTGCATTGGTATCGAATGAAAAGATGTAATAGAAAATAATTTCTCTGCCCCAGCCAGAAGAAATCTTACAGGTGGAGGCTGAATACTTCTGTAACACTAAGTTTAGAGGTTAAATTAAAGCCTATGTTTACCAGTGAATCTCTTCAAAAAACAACAAAAAAATTTACGCTTTGGTGATGGTCATAGCAGCCTTTAAGGACCCCTGAATACAGTTCTAGGATGGAGGATTATGGGAACAGAGGGGAGGGGGGAATTTTTTGCAGTTGCACTGTTGGCACAGGGCTCTAAGCAAGCCACACTGCCACACGGGGTCAGCCTCTCTCTGTAACTGCACTGTGTGAACAAAGGTAAGTAGCTGCTGATTAGTTGGTGGAGAATTCCGGTGCCAAGCCATTTATATTTATCATCCAAAATTGCACGTACTAGCGTTGTTGAATATACGTGTACTTGGTACTGGCCTCTTGTGCCTGCCACGGTGCCAGTGTAGCTCTGTCACGTGTTTTTGTGGCAGAGAATATCAAGAAAAGATTGGATCCTATTTATGTAGTTCCCTTTCTGAGTCAGGCTTCCCACCCAAACCAGCTTGTTTCCTTCTCCTCTGTGATCACAGTTGTAAAGCAGCATACACGCACTTGTAAGAATACAAAGAAGTTGGAAGGGGGAAAAAGGTAACTTTTTCAGCCCAGTACTGTTACAATATGCTGTTAGCCCATGTTGAGAGGAGGATGAAGGAAGCCATGTAAAGAGGAATGCTTCACCTTCTTGATGAAACCATGGCAAGCAGCGTAGACAGACAACTTGCTTGTTACAGACAATAACCAATACCTCTGCACCTGTAAACTCAGCCCTGTAACATGAGTCATTAACACCCAAACCAATTTGTCTACTTTGCCATTGGAGAGAGGTATGGTAGAAATCTTAGTTAAACATGAATGGAAGATAAGCCCCTTTCAAATGTATCCTTCTGTGAACCACATTTGAGATGACAAGAATTAGTGTGGTTGGACTTTGATCTAGTCTTTATTTTTCCAACACTTGTTTGAATACACTCAAAATTGATCGGCTCATAGATGCTGGAGCTTTTCACTGAATCAAAGTCCTTTCCAGTCCTATCTTCTGATTGCAGCTTATCGCTGCATGCTTAAGTTAGTTTGTACAGTGCTTGGAGAGGCACACGAAACATTTCTTACAGTATCTCACTGAATCTGTATCTGGGATTGTCTAGGGTAACAAAGAAATGATACAGTAGTATTTCATAAAAGGTACCAACTCCTATCCTGGATAGTGGCACTGATACACAAGATTTACACACCTCTGGAAATGGATAAAAAGCGCCCACACAGAATATCAGTGTCCAGTGAACAATCTTCCTCCCTCTCTCCTAAAAATCCAAGCATTAAGTTTTACTACCCTACCTTATGCCTTGGTTACAAATAGAGCAACATAGAAACATTTTTCAGACTTAAATACCTTCCTAACCATGTTTTTAACCCCTACATCAGGGATTACTACACCTGAATGGAAACGTGGGAGGGTACAGTAGTATTCATTAGAGACTTAATACAAAATCAGCTGTGGCCTAAAATTTAGGTTTATGTAAAGATGAACCCACATTATGGGCTAGTCTCTGAATAGCAGTTCTGCTTTCGTACATGCTCCTCTTCAACCACTAATCTATTTATATTAATCTCTTCCTAGATGCTTACACAGGAATTGCATGCTTATTCCATGGCAGAGTCCACTACAGGAACAGTGAGCAAGTATCTGTCATACAACAGTGACAAGTGGACTAGTATCCAATGTTACAATCCCTGATGCTTTCAGACAACTACAACCCTAAGTAAAATGGTGAGACCCTCCGACACCAAAAGGGAATTGACAAGAACATCAGAAGTAACTAGAAAGGCAGTTCAGGTTAAGCACTAACAAAAACAAGCAGAGTAGTGACAATGAAGGCATAATACACTGGCAAGCAGAAACCCACAACAGAAGAATCCATTGATTTGGTGTAGTTTAAATAGTCTTGTCACAAACTTTAAAAGACAGGGAAGCAGAAATGTCTTGCTTCTAGTACCAGCTCTGTCAGACTCTCCTCTCTCTGGCCTTGTGCAAGGATGTAACTTACCCTCTCCATCCCTCAGTTTCTCTTGACGAGAGACCTCCCTGCAGTGGATCTCAAAGCACTTTACAAACATAAATTAAGGACCATCTCACATCTGTGTGGTAGAATTGCCCCTCCAGTTGCAGGTGCTAAGGCCACACAGTAATCAGATGAGAATTAAGGTCTCTCTCTTCCAAGAGCAGCACTTTACTGCCACTTCCAGGCCTCCTCCCCTCACCTGCAACACAGCAGTGCAAGGATGAATTATTTCATGCAGTTGAAAAGCTCCATATGAGTACAAGGAGGATGGGTCTTCTTGAACTTTACTCAAGGGATTGACTCAGATAGTAGCACCAAGGTGACATAGGACCTGTGTAGGCATTTATACCATACTCCAGCACAAGGCCATTAATTAGCAAGTCCCACTTCCCACAAAGCCTTACAGATGTATCTTCCATTTGCAGTTGTGTAACCTCTGATGTAGGTAGCTGTCAGCTAACCCTGGATTTCCTTTTGATATTCTCATCTCAGTTGTACTTCCAGTAGAACAAGAATACTCAGAATGTAAATACTTTCAAAACAGTATTTATTTATATCTGCTGTTAAAAAAAAGCCATGGTTATTACAGTGATTAATAACGATTTGTTTCTTCTCCCAATCCCATTGTCAAGTATTTTTGTGCAAAAATTCCAATGCCAGTAGATACATTCAAGGAAAAAGAGCTGGTTAGAAGTCAGTGCTATCGGAACTAAGTACCTTGTGGCATAATGGCTGTGTTAAGAACAGACAACAGAAAGGTTTCTGGGCCATTTTCTCGGTGTTCTTTCCCTCATATCCCCATTAAGTAAACTTAGTGCTGGTGAAGTCTGCTGGATTGCTAACCCTGGACAGTGAAGTCCTTCACAGGAGATGCACAGACCCCGCAGCATAAGCTTGTCCACACTGCTTCTCCTTGTGCCTTAGCCCTGATTTCACGGGTTAATGGGGGATTTCAGGCTCTATTGCCTGTTTAGTTACAGGCCTTCCTACTAGAGACTGCTAGTAAGGCTGGCAGTTGTAACTGGGACACTGGTGTCCAAGAGCCACCATCAGAACTGGCACTAAGTCCACCACCTCACTTTGCATGCTACCAAACAGCCTCTCAGCACCACCCAGGTAGGCTGAATTCAGATCAGTGATCTAGAGAGGAAGCAATCCCAATCCCAAATCCCTGAGCTAGCTACCCCCTAAGTGTTTTCGGTTCAACCTTGTGATGCTTCAGTAACCCAGCTATATAGTTTCAGAGGCTCATTGCAGAACATTACCCTACTGTAAAACTACAGTCTGTTAATAAAAGTGTACCATCTACGGCAACTTTGTTTGGTTTGTTTTTAATGTCAGTTTAAGCAACCTGGAATAACCACCACCATCATTCTGTTCCCCCCTTAGCACCAGTAGTCTTGTTTTGCGAGTTACTGAGTTAATGATACAGCACATCTAATACGGTCATCCTTTACCAGCGTCCACATGATCCACATCTCGGTGGGGTTCAGCTTGTGCACTATCATCAGTTCTTTGTACAGACATGGATCAAAAGGATTAAAAGGCCTCTGGATTCCAAAGGTCTTAAAGCCAGCATGGTTCAATGGAGTCACTGCCATCTTTGCCAGACACATTCCCACAAAGACATCATCTATTGGGAAGAGTTCGGTGTCCTCGGCGGTGCTCTGGAGTCGCTGCACTGTCATTCTGGACATCACATAGCCACCGCCACCAGCATAGAGAGGATAGTAGGGCGCTTTGTACATAGACTCCGGGATGAAATATTTTACTTTGGTGTTTCTTATAGGACGGGCCTGGCTGATCACATCCCCAACAAAGAGATCCTGCCCAGGTTTGAATTCCTTGAGGAACTCAACAATATTGTAGGTGTTGACAAAAACATCGTCATCGCCCTTCAGCACAAACCTGGCATGGGGACAGTCCACCATGAACCAGCGGAGGAAGTGCAGCTCCTTCAGCGTCAAGTTGAAGAAGTTGTCGGTGAAATCCCACTGGACAATGTCATCGAACTCTTGGCTCTCATAAACCAGCAGCTGATGGAGGGAGTGAGCCTGGACTTTGGCCTCCGAGCGCCCAAGCAAGAACACCAGCTTGATTGGCTTGCTGCCAATGGCCACTTCTTTCCCCCATGTGTTCCTGATAGCAACCCTACGGTCTATGTTGATTGGGGGAGACTTGATTGCCAGCAAGAGGAATGTTTCCTCGCTGCATCTCGTGGGCTTCAGCAGTGTTGAAAAGTTCCTGCAGTGCTTGTACATTAAGAAGATGCGGTGAAGCTCTGGGAGTGCAAGAGAGGAATTGGCAATTGTCAGGTCTGGCAAACATTTGCTGAGTTCAGTCTGCTCTGGGGCCCAGAACGTATGGCTGGGATTTGGTGCAGCTATCTTCCTGGCTGCTGGAGACACAGCCAGCTTAGTCTCTTTCCTTATATACATAAGAAATGCAATCAATGTGACTGAAATGGTATATAGTCCAACCATTCTTATCCTGGGATACATCTCAAACTCTGGAGCAGGAGCCAATCCCTGCGTGGTTAAAGGAACACACAACATTTATTAAAGGAGCATGTAGGCTTCTTGTCTCAGTGCCAAAGAGACTTTCTAAATAATGATCACAAGAGACTAAAGGCTAGATTTACAAAGCTATTTAGGGGCCTAAAGATGCAGATAGGAATCCAGTGGGATGTACAAAAACATCTAAGCAGCTTACACACCTAACTGCCCCAGACTTCAATAGCAAAATTTTTATTGAATTTAATGGGATCAGGAGCTGTCCCATTACTCCACTTAAACAAGGCAGGACACATGTTTGTCCCTGCCCAGCCCAGAGTACTGATGTCAGGGCTGCTCACAGGAGCCCCTTGAGAGCTGCCAAAGTGCTCAGATTTGGGATTGGGGGGGTGGGGGCGTGGAGGACAGATTCTAATGTTGGACGGTGAGCTCATTAGCCTATGAAGTCAGTCACTGCTCAATTTGGGCCCAATTTCCATCCTCTTCTTTGGGAAAGGAGGGTATTCAGCACAAAACCAGCTCTGCAAATTCAAAGCTAACACTACTCTTGGGCAGTGCCCAGGTGCCCAATATGTATTATGAGAAGGTCTCAGGAAGCACAGCGAACCATCACACAGGCACATAGGCCAAGTGCTGCAGCTCACAAGGCTCTTGCAAGGACAGAGCTAGCTTGATGCAAGCTATTCAGACTGCTTTTCCCATCAGAGTCAAAGCCCTATTCGCATCATCTAGTGTCAGCCCGTTTTAGGAACATTGGGGGCAACACCAGGGATGCTTGGATAGCATGGTAGTTTGGTCTGAGGGCCTAGATGTGAGTACAGGTGGCAGGCAAGTCTCTGGGCTTCCTTCCCTGCTCACTTTCCCCCCATCTAGTTCTCTTTGGGGTTGCATGCTGTTTGCGAAGTCGAGACCTTGGGGCGCTTCACATCTGCCAAGTTCGTCTAATCTAGCCATTTGTTTGGCCAGCTGGAGCTGATCAGTCCATTCTAAGTTTTGCAGGGGGTTCTAGGTTCGCAAACCTGGAGTCCCATTTCTGAGAGAGTACACTAGCTTTTCCAGGGCCCTCATGACTGTCAGCTGAAGCAGCCAATGCTGCATAGCCTCTACATTCAGTATTGTTTTAAAGGCAGCCTTAAAAAGAATGTCATGGCATTTAATCACAGACATCCTCAATTCTATGCAGGCATTAGAGCACAGAACAAGCCAACAGGTTTCTATTAGTCACGTCAGAGGCAGTATTCTGTCCCTCCAGCTACCAAGCTTGCAAATTAGTGCAGCTAAAAAATTCATCTAAGTGAACAGCTTGTCTGAAGTGCAATCCTAAAGCTTGGGTTTTGTTAATACGCTCTCTCAGGTAAAAGCCCATATCCAAGTCCTACAGCACATGGGTTTTACAGCACCTTACTTCCTTTCAGCATCTTTGTGTCACAGTGGGGATCAGAAACTACATCTTCTGACACCCACCCTTGTGCCTTGACCATAAAAAACTTTTTTGCTTTTTAGCACATCTATAGAATCATAGACTTTAAGGTCAGAAGGGACCATTATGATTGTCTAGTCCGACTTCCTGCACAACGCAGGCCACAAAATCTCACCCACCAACTCCTGTAACAAACCCCTGACCTATATCTGAGCTATCGAAGTCCTCAAATCATGGTTTAAAGACTTCAAGGTGCAGAGAATCCTCCAGCAAGTGACCCCTGCCCCATGCTACAGAGGAAGGTGAAAACCCCCCAGGGCCTCTGCCAATCTGCCCTGGAGGAAAATTCCTTCCTGACCCCAAATATGGTAATTAGCTAAATCCTGAGCATGTGGGCAAGACTCACCAGCCAGATACCCAGGAAAGAATTCTCTGTAGTAACTCAGATCCAACCAAATTCTAACCAAATTACCTAGCCAATATCCCCATTATTTCCTTCAACTATTCTTGCCTGTCCATCTTCTTCCATGAAGTCCCCTTTACCTAGAACTCCCCTTCATACTTCTAACATCCTCTCCAAGTACCTCTTTAAATCCTACTTTTCAAGAAAGGCTTATTATTCTCTATTAACTATCAATTAGGGCTGTCGATTAATCACTGCTAACTCACACGATTAACTCAATGTATCAACCACACTGCTTTACAGGCAACAACTTTCCCTCTTCCTTTTAAGAAAAGAAAAGCACTTACCAGGCCCCATTCCCCATCCAACTCCAGTTCTGCCAGAGAGTTCTAACAGGCCATTAAAGGCAGAAGGAATTAACCTAGTTTTCCCCTCACCAAACGTTCCCATTTAGAACTTTAAAGTGTCGGACAGGCACGCTGGTGCTTGCTCTGGCAATGAACCCCACATTTCAGTAGAAGGGCACTCATGGCCTGAATCCAACATTAGAAGCATTACAGGGATCCTGACTTTACACAGGGATGACACACCCTTTTTAAGAGCTAGAGAAGCTGAAGACGCAGATGCTGCTCCCAATTGAAAGTGTTTAAGTTTATACTGTTTAACTGTTAGTAAAGGTTTTTGGCCTAGGAATCCAGCAACAAGCAGGTTTCAATGCTGCCTTAGAAAACAGTGTTTATAGTTAGTCACATTTTTGGCATTTGCATTTAGGGTGGAATTTACCATGGCAGGATCAGAAGCCCATACCCATACTATGACAATACCAACGCCTGCAGGGTACACCAGACGAAAGGAAACCTCAGAGAGGTTAAGGTGTAAAAGCTGTGGCCAAACCATAAAGCGTCCTGTTACACAGGGGCTAATTTTGGGATTAGGGTTGCTCTACCAGGGCCAGTTTCTTGATGATCCATCATGCATGTGAAATTTAGAACTGGTTGCAACATTCCCGAGGTATCTAGCATCCGATCAACAGAAAGACTGAACTTTTTGCTGTCCTAGGCAAACTGGATCATTTATGCCATTCCCAGCCCTGTAACATTTTGTCTCCCTTTAATACAGACACATTATTTGTAGTGGCCTTGTCACTTGTATACTGAATGCACTGGTCAATAATTGAAGTAAATCAGAGGACTGACTTTAGACTCGCTGTTACAATCAAATAAGTCCTTAGTTATTAAAGGACCCAAACATCCCACTAAAGCCTAATCAGTAACGTTCCCAAACCTCACAACGCTGGGCTGTCATTTATTTAAAGGAGATGGCGTGCAGAAAAAAGAGCTAGTCTCCCAGCAAAGCTTTGAAGGGAGTTTTGCAATTCCCTTCCAGGATACAGCATCTTCTGCTGAACCCCGCAAGACCAGGCAACGATGGGTGCAAACCATTCCCCCGAGTTTTACAGGGCTCCTTCTCCCCTCTTACCTTTCCTGTAGCACCGACTGGTCCTCGGGGGCTGCTGCTCTGCAAGGAGCGCTCCTTAAATGCACCGTGCAAGTCCCCGCCTGCTGCAAACAAACCTTTCACCAGGCTCCAATTTAAACAGAGGGAGGCGGGGGTGGTGCATGGAGGCCTGAACCCCCTTCCGGCCCTCTCTTTCTGTTGTGCGCTTGCATCTGATTCTGGGAGCCGCTCGCTCCCCGAGCCTGCTGCAGTTAAAGGCGAAGCCGCATCCACTGGGGCTCGCGCTGCCCTAGAGCCCGGCCGGGGTCGCCATAGAAACGGCGGGCAGACTCGTGCGGACTGGAAATGAGCCGGCTCGCGCAGCGGATGCTCCGGGATTTGGGGAAAGCCGGGCGCGAGGCGGGGCGACGGGCGGCAGCGGCCGGGGAATGGGTCAGCTGCGGGAGAGCGCCCAGCCCCCCATTCGGGGATTAGTTTAATGAGGGAGGCATTTGCTCTCAGGCAGATGGAGCCTGAATGAATTCAACCCCCCCCCCCCCCCCCCCCCGCTCCCGAAAGTTGCTGGGGAAGGCGGAAGGTGCAGCCGGGGGCTCGGGCACCGGGAATGCGACGGGCCGAGCGGGGTACAGTGGAGTGACACCGCTTTTCGGCCTAGGCGCTTTGGTTTGACTCCTTCTCTGCCGGCTCTTTGGGGGAGGAGGAGGAGGAGGCGGCAAGGCTCTGCCCCCGGGCTGGGAACAGTCAATACCCTCAAGACAGGGCCTGGAGTTTTACTGGAAATTCTCTGCCCACCCACCTGCTCCCTAATTTCCCTTTTGGCTGCAAGGGCTGGATTCGGATTGTGCGTGGCGCGGGGCCTTACCAGAGCGCCTCTGTTGGCTCCCGGGGATCAAGATTGAAGGGGGGGGGGGGACTCTGCTTAAATAGAGCACAAGCTTGGCCCACATGTAAACTTAATTCCTATGGGTGAGGAGTGGAAGTGTTTATGTCATCCTGCTGCGTTAGGCCGGGCTCCCAGCCAGATCTGCAGCTTTTAAGATTTGTTTTTGTTTTGCTTTTCTCTTTCCAAGGAAAATCTTCTAGGTCGGATCCAGTGCTGGGCTGCTTGCCTGACTCTTCAGAGGACCCAAAACAATAGCTAGGTCTGAGGAGTGTGAATTGTCTTAGAATGACTCTCAGCTGGTGTTAATTCAGAAAGCCACAGGGGACAGGTGAAATGTTAGCACTGTTAACTGATTCACCACTGATCACTTGAGAGACAACCAGTTAGACTGGGACTGTAGGCCGACCATAGAACAACACTGCTCCCCAGTTGGAGCTAGGGTTGTCTGGCTCTAATCCTTCATCAACAGCCATCCCCAAGGAATATATTTGACAAGAGCCCTCTGTATTGCCCAGCTCTCGCTCTTTTTCTATAGCACCTAGCATCATTTGCTGAAACGTATTCCAATGTGTGTGGAGCTTGGGGACTTCCCCACTTTATCCCATACCTTCCTGTGTCTTCCCTCTGCTCAGGAAGGTTCACCAATAAACCCTTAGGGAGTTTTCTTCATTTATAACAAATACACTCTGCCCTTTTCAAACCTCTTATTACTGCTATCCAACCATCTCTTCTTACAAGCTCCTGCGGCATAAGTAGGTCTCCACTTCTTCTCTAGCAGACCCATGAGGGCCACACAAGCTGCTCTCTTGTGACCTGTCTGGTCAAGTTCTCCTTGAAGGGCAGCTATGCAAGTTATTGTTTTCCACCCCAGCAGTACAATATCTCAGGTGTGCAGCTCTGGTGACACCATCTGGCTGAGAAGGCAAATAGACCTGCCAGCTTAGGACTCTGCCTTTATGTTTTCTCCCTGGAGAAAGCAGAGCATTGAAGACAGCTTATCCTCAGCTCTCAACTACTGTTAAAGATGCCACACGACAGCAGCCCACGAACAAACGTTCCAGACATTCTGAAAATGAATAGACGGCAGAGATGACATGTAGCTGTTGATAGTGGGGAGGGGGAGGGGCACAATTTAAAGGTTCTGGTGGTATGCAGCAGGGTTCAGGGCAAGGCATATAAAACACTGCAGAAATCTGGGGGCATGTGACCCTGCATGTTCCCCCATGTGTCACTTCTGATTCACACCCAAGTGACAAGAGTTCAGATGACACTAGGAGCTTGACCTGCTGATGGCAACAATTGTCAGGCCCAGGCCTCCTTGAAATGAAACAGTGTTGAAAACAGTTTGTGTGTTAGTGTGGATGAGACAGAAATATTTTTCAGCAACCACTACAGAAAGCATGAGTTAGTGGTACGGCTGGGAATAAAACCCAGGAGTGCTTGTATTTGCCAATCCAAACTCCATCAAACAACTGGAAAGGCACTCCCACTGAGACTCCTCCTGCTACATTTAAGCTCATTGCCATTAGTGACTTCTGGTTTTAAGAACTTCTCTTTGGCCATGAGGCGTGCTCCTGCTCCTGGTGGGGCTGCTAGCCCATCTCCCCAGCCTATTAGGGACCAACTCCACACCCAAAGGCCATCTGGAAACTCACAAAGTTATTCCCCTAGCCAAAACAGGAACCCAGAAGCCTTTCCCTTTGCATTTCTTCCCACAGCTCCAGGGCTGGCCTCAGCAGCCAGGGCCCTTCCCACAGTTCTTTTGTCAACCAAGCTCTTTCAGCCTGACTCCTTCCCAGCTGGGTCTGATCGTCTCCTCTCCGAAGGCCCAAACCCATGTCTCTGAACAGGGCTGGCTGGCTGGCTGGCTCCATACCCGTAACGGGGCAGATCACCCTGTTATACACCCACTGAAGTCTGGCAAAGCTCCTTCAGGGGGAGTCACAGCAAACTCAGCAGTCAGTGGGAGTTGAGCGTATCTCCAAGCCTCTCAGGCTTGAGCCCTACAAACCCAAACCAACCAACACCTAGCAAGCTTCACAGGTTTATTTCAGTGGTGGAGACTGTAGGGTTTTTTTGCTGCACATATATTACATGAACCTGCCTCATCAAGCAAGTGCTTCTCATTTCTTTATTGGTGCTGGGCATCGGATGCGGCTGTCCACTGAATCAACTGAACTTGGAATTCTACGGTCAGAGGCACAGGCTGGATTTCTTGGACTTCCTTCCCTTCAGGAGATTCTTTGTTTTTTCCTGAGGAAAACAGTTAGTCATTGTTTCTAGGAAACAACCCTAGAAAACCCCACTACTCTGAATGGGCTGCATGTGTCCTTGAAGTTTTTGCAGTCATTCCAGTTCCTTAATACAGATCAATTTGAACATGAATTTTGTTGGATAAGAATCCAGCACTGTTAAGTGTTAAGATGCTCAATCCAGCTGGGTACAGTTTTGCTTTGTTGTTTTAGAACTCAATATCCACCAGTCAGAGGAGAGAGAAACAGAAACTCCAAAGCACATGGAGAATCTGTTCAGGGGTCAAATGAAACCTACAGGCCTCAGGCTGAGAGAATACATTCTTTCAGTGTCTGGTCAAATCATTCATTGTGGATGAGACTTCACTCTTTCCCCTGTTGGTGAGGGATCCTGATTAAACGATAGTTTTCACTATTTGTACGTATTTGTTGAATAGATGATGCACACTAAGTTCAGACTATGGGTTATTAGCAAATCGTTCACTGTGGCTGCACCTGCATTAGCAAACTCTGTAGCTACCATTCATTGGTGCAGCTCCAAGAGTGGTAGCAATGGAAGCTGTGGTGTAGACAGAGCTCAGATGTCTTCTATGGGATCTATACTGCAGTGGTGAATTACATCTAGTACTGTTAGTACCACGTTTGCAAGTGTAGCTAAAGCTTTTGATCCTTCATAATTTGTAGTATGCGATCGGCCATCTAACTCACAAGACATTTCGGCTCCATGAATGGCTGACATACCTTTTAAACAGGAGAATAGCAAATGGTAAATAACCCACTGTCCAGTGTGATAATTTGTGATACAATTCACAACACTTTCAAGATTTGCACACATTTTCATGAGTCCCTGGCAGTTGTCTGCACAGCCAGGAAAAACAACAACAAATGCAGCCAATCGCACCTTAAATTATTGCACCAGCTCTTCTGAGCTCCAATAGTTCAGGTCTGACTTGTGGAAATACGACCACCTCTTTGCCTACGAACCCTAAACAACAAATGGAAACCCTCAAGCTACTTGGTGCATGCTGCTGGCTGAGCAGGGGTACCACAGATTATGTCCCTAATCTTTGAAAGACAATCAAGTATAGATGTAGTTTGACTTCTATATTTGGAGGGGCAGCTCCATTCAGGCCAACGGGGCAATGCGTGGGGGGCAGGGCAAATTCCACAGCTGCCGGAGGCTTGCAGTTTGGGGGGTGTGCAATGTCCCCTATCTCCCACAAACTATGCCCATGCAATCAACTTCTCCCCTGCTCTGCCAGCCAAGGGAAAGGGTTGGCTAGCCTTAATATGCACAGAAGTAAGGAAATGCCAAACTAAGCAAAATCCTCTGCTTAATCCCAATGGGTTTTCCAAGTCCATGATAACATACTTGGATATTTATTGCGCATCTGACTCCATCATTGTTGCGGAGGCTGCATGAGGGGATATTCCAGTCATAAAAAAAATAAAAAGAAACCCCAGGTGCTAAGTGCTACTTGAAACCTTTCAAGCCTACCTTCTGCAATGGTTACAATACATTTGGTTTGTTACAAATGTGCTGACACTAGGTGGACTAGCACTGTGGCCGTGGCCTCCTTCCCTATATGGGTGAGTGGGTTGCTAGGGTGGTGATCGAGTTCAGTGCAGCGTCCAGGAGCATGAAACTTCCAGAAACGTTTAACGCTTGTTTCAAATGTGTATCTTGCTCTATGGGGTGTGTGTCGCAGCTGGTTCAACAAACTGTCTTTTCATACAACTTTCTCTCAAGCAGGACAAGCACTGGCCGGAAAGCAGCTGGGACACTGTCTTCTAGGACAAGGTAGGAGCTAGGGCACTGGGGAAGCAGAAAGTCACCCTGAGGCTACAAGAGACTCCTCTTCCCACAGAAATATTGAAAAGCAAGGACCTCACATCCTGTTGTCACCTTTCAGATGAGGGTGGGTCTCATTCACAGACAGGGAAACTGAGGCACAGAGGGGCTAAGTGACTTTCCCCAGGTCACACAGTCAGGAGCAGAGCTGGAAAAGATGCTAAGAGTATTGATGGCCAATCTCTTACTCTAAAGACTAGTGAAGTCCAGTGAATAGGAGAGGCAGGGCTGAAAATTAAGGGACTTAGGTTCTATTCCTGGCCCTGCCATGGGCTCATTGTGTGAGCGTGAGCAAGCCACTTCCCCTCTCTGTGCCCTGATATTACCTTTGCCATGTGCGTTGAGATCTACAGATGAAAAAAATAGAATGAGATTGCTAAGTGTTCGTATACGCTATGTTATTACTAGACAACACTCCCCTATTGGATCAGCTAGCCCATGCCATGCCCTGAATATGTGTGTGTGTGTGTGTGTGTGTGTGTGTGTGTGTGTATACACATATACACATCACACACACAACTAGCTAGCTAGGCAACAATTGAGCAAGGTACTTAAGCATGTGTCTAACTTTAAGCACACGTAGAATCCCAGTTTGATGAATGGAACTACTCGTGTGCTGAAAATTAGGAACATGTTTAAGTTCTTTGCTGAATTAGAGCTATGAAGATGCTTGTGCGCAACCTACAGCTGGATGGATGGAGGATGCTGGTGCTGCCTTGCTCATTGTGCATCTCAGTGACGCAGCCCTTCCGAGGGGCTCTAGAAATGCTGATAGCTTAGATAGGTCTACCTCTGCTGTTACCTTTGGCAGCCACTGTGGTTTTCTGGCTTGCGGGACTTTCTCCCCCAGTTTTTGGTTTTTTGTTCTTGTCTTTGCTCTTCTTACCATCCTAGAGAAAAGAAATTTGTTGTTCTTAGTAGGGAAGGCTTCCAAGCAGCTTGTGCAAAGCGAAGTTTAGCCCTGAAGTCACAATCTCCCGACTGGGACATCATGGTCACTTTCACACAGCCAGGTGAGGTCGCAAACAGAGCATTAGGATTTAAAAGGCGCTGATCAGCAGCAGGAGCTCAGCAAAGAGCCTCTGTACTCAGAAACGAGAGAATGTCAGAAAATAGGAAATGTCAGAGCCACTCTACAATGGGAATATTTCCCGTAAGGCCTCCGCAGCTCTTTAGGATTTATACCCTACCTAGGAGCAATGCAAGAAGGGACTTGAGTGAATGATTTCAGTGTATACAAGGGAGACTGCAAACAGATCAGTTCCTCTTTAACAGAGGACCATATTAATAACACCACCACCTAACTCTTATCCAGCACATTTCATCAGTAAAATTGTCCATGTGGCGTATAAGGGCTTTTCCCCTTTCCTCTGAAGCATCACGCATGTGTCAGTACCACAGACAGGGTACAGACTTCACGGACCATTGGCCATATCAGACTGGCACAATCATATGGGCTAGTTTGGCTTTACGTTGACAAGATAATCGAGAGAGCCTGTGTGTGGTATAATCTCATCTCCAAAGTCAAACCTATGTATCTCCCTAAGGGCCCGAGCTCCTGCCGTCCTTCCTCACCAAACTGGCCCCTGGAATGAGGAAAAACTCTGAGCTAGGGCTGCAGGATCAGGCTCCAACTGACAACTTTATCTTTAGGCCTCAGAGTACTGAGGCCAGCTGAGATTCTGCACTCTGTGCCCTGATGCCCAGCAGCAAGGTTCTACTTCTGCTACCTCTCAAGCTTTGTCCATCAGCACAGGCCAAATTTTGCTCCCCTTGAAACACATCCAACCCTATGGGGTGTCCCGCAAGCCAGGACCAATCCCCATGCTCACACATGCAGAGTGCTCCCGCTGGCATCAATGGACCCCATTCATCCTGTAAGGTCAGCGTCTCGTGCTTCGCGTTATTAGCTGGGATGAGGATTCGCTGCTAATACTAGAGTGGCTGGTACCTTCTCCTTAGGAGACGGTGGCTGAGTTGTTTCCTCAGAGATGAGGACTCCTAAGTCACACACCACGGCCACAAGCTGGTCGCCTGTTAAGAGGCTCTCCAAGTTCACGTGCCCAGACCCCAGGCTTCTCAAAAGAGGCGGGTCACTGCGGAGTTCGATGGGGCTTTCCTTTTTCTTTTTCTGCTTGTCGCCCTGCACAGCACAGATTTGATCACGTCCAAGAGTCACGCACCTGAAGATCACAGTTCATTCCTCAAACACCATCAGATCTGGGAGCCCCAGTCTGGATTTATATGTGTGACACTATAACCACCCCCGCCCCATCCAGAATGAAGACTGAGTAAAATGGTTGCATCGAAGGTCTCCACCTGAGACTGGAAGGGGGCTCAATACCTGGGCAAGAACTTTAGGAATACGTGGGAGGCGTCTCATAGAAACTGAGGCCCTGATGATTACTTGGCACAGACCAGTCAAGGGACCAAGTGTTCAGTGCCTGGGGGAATCACCTCAGCTGAACAACATAGACACTGTTCTGTTGTGGCTCACGTGGATATTTTTTCTGTTTGATATTTTTTAATGCAGCCTCTCTGCAACCGCCTGCATCATATGGAGTAGCAGCAGATGCCCTTCTGCACCCCTGACAGGGGTCTGTGTAAGTGTAGATCATCGCTGGCAGGCTGAGCAGGAGCACAGGTTAATTAAAAGTGAACTGTGCTTGTAAGTGACGCTTCCTTACTCTTTGTGTGGGGTTGCTTAGCACCCTTAACCAGTCTTCACAATAACAACATCCTCCCTCACCCCATCTCTGTTATTACCTTACCACCATCCTTTGGCTTCCCCTTCTCTGCTTTTCCCTTATCCGCCTTCCCCTTCTTGCCTGCATCTTCAGCCAGACGTGCAGCAATGGGCCATGAAAACACCTAGCAAGATAGAACAGCCTGGTTCTCATGCTGCAGTATTTGGGCTGCAAACAGCACAAGGGATCTCGGTTTGTTACACCGGAATTAAAAATATGCAAATGCAGGGGAATGTTCACATTATTGTCAGGCTTTCGAAAAGCTTGTTTTCCTCCCAGCCAGACTGTGTCCCTCCATCCCAAAGCATGCCAAGCATTTACCTTTTCCTCTACAACAGTGACGGTGGTTCCAGCCATGAGGAAGGCTTTCAGTGCCGCTAAATCCTCAGTGACATGCTCCTTCCTGTGGCTGCACTCAATGGTCTCAGCCCAGTGCTTCCGAAGGGTGAGGTGCCTGTTCGCTAAACGAGAAAACGCAAAAGGAGCAGTGAGGCCCACCTTGACATCTCAGCTGGGCCTGCAGAGCACACACAGGGGCAGTGACAGCTTCCCCCACACTGCTCTGCTCTAGAGCACCAGCAGGAGGGAGTGGGGAGCTGGGTTTCCATGATCCATTCAGTCCTTGGGCTCTCAGCTCACACTGCCAACATGGGGAGTGGCCGGAGGCAATTCATCCCAATTGTGGATGCCGTTTGTTAGTGATGTGGACACTTGCCAGCTGGGAACTAGACTTTGAGACCCACCAAACTCTATCACGCTTGCTCTGGTGAGATCCCAGAACAGAACCAGCTGGCCGCAGCCCTATAAGTATGTTTGGCTCCATTGCAGTCAATGGGCTTACACCAGGGCTGAATTTGGCCCACTGTTTTAAGTCCAGTCTGGCTACAACAGAGAAGCTCACCCATGGGGTGATCAGAGGAGAATATGATGTATAATAGAGAAACAGAGCATTTAACAGACCACTGTCTGGGATGCAGTAGAGAGCTGAGTGCAGGAGACAAGAGAAATCCCATTACCATGCGAAGCCAGGAGACTCTGGTGAGATGTACTCCTGGGTATTCAGCTAGCTGCCTAGATCAGGAGCAGCCTGAAATCACTTTCGAGGCAGACACGTGTGAGTGAGTTTGATGCCAGGAAGGAACAAGACCATTTTAAGGGGAAGAACAATTGTTGTCACATTCTCACTTATGCCACAAAGCACAGTAACACCCTCCCCTAAAATAACCCCACTGGCCTCCCATTAATGGCAGGACCCAGTTCAAAATTGCCCATCTCCTACAGTATTTAAAGACCTCCTGGTGCCTTCCTCCAGCTTATATCAAGGATTTTGTCCCTCTCTCCCCTCCTTCATTCATCTTGCACTGACCTCCCCTTCTGTCCCTTCACAGGATCATTCCACTTCTGGTGCAAGAGCCTGCTCCTCTGCAGCTCCTGCCATCTGAGAGAGCCCCCCTGAATCTCTGCTTCATTGACTCTCCATCTCATAGAAGATCTCAGCTCCTATCTCCTTTACTTTTGCCTCTTAGTTTCTCTCCCCCTTTGCTAGTATTTATTTTAACTTTGTGACTATGAACCCAACCCCCAAATAACTGCACACAAAGAACGCTCACTGACTTCAGCAGGAGCTCCACGCACAAAGCAGATCTAGGATTGGGCCCTGCATTCATGCTGTAAGCACCATATGCAGGTATGATGTTATACAAAATAAGGGCCTGATCCTGCAAACTGTTGCTCCCAGAAGTGGTGCTGGCTTCTATGAGTAATCCCTTTGACTACTTGCAGCAGCCAGCGGTCCTCCTTGCAGAATCAAGCCCTGTAGCCTTCTAAGCACTGAAACAACATGTGCTGTAGAAACGGAGCACTGACAACTGAATAAATATTTTGATATTTTGTCATTCAAGGACATCAGTTTCAGGGTTTTTTTTTTAAATCCCTGAAATTCTGTTTGGATCAGGAATTGGTCTTTTTATTTCACACTGGGCTTCTGGGGTTTCATACGATCTATAATACTGTAATTATCACACCAAATGAAATTACAGATTCGAGACAATCACTAGGGAAATGTAAATCCTAAATCTGATTTGTATTGACTCATTTATTTGGAGAGCAATATCTGTCCCAGACCAGATGTCTTGCTGGAGAATAATACCACCAATTAATAAGTGGCATGGTCTTGATAACGTATCTAGCGGTGACCTACACTACTGGAGACATGTTGATGGCAACACATTTCAAAATGTAGCAGCTAATGACATTCCAGGAAGACTGATAAACCCCCAAGTTCAGTTTAAGGTAAGAATTTCTTGATTCTGTGGTACCCCTGTTTGCCGGAGGCTCCTGTTTAAGCAGAGAAGACAGAGCTGAAGACTCCGATCCTCCTGTGTCAGCATTCCCTGGTGGGCTCCCAGGGTTTGGTGTAGCCACCATTTGACTCTGATGGAATTTTATTACCTGTAACAGAAAGGCATCAAAGGTACCTATAGAAGGGGCCAAATTCTGGCTGAGTCTGCACACAGACACAGGTTGCAAGGGGAGAAAAGTGCCTGTCTACATCATGGCACTTCTGAAATGCCACTACACAGACTTCCCCTATCATGAGAAACATGGAAGGGGCATTGGAGGAATGCCCAGTAGTGCTGACTCTGGTGAACAGGTCTCCTGAAGTCAGTGAGACAAAGTCTACATATTTAAGCACATAAACACACCCTTCTGTGCAGAATACTACTGTTCACTGCAGGAACAGAGTACATGGAGGCAGAGGACCTATAGCGCTGATCTCAGACAGAAGGTAGACACACCTCAATACTACCTTTGCAGCATATGTCTGTGCCCAGATTGTGAGATTTTAAAAAGAATACATTGGAAATTCTTGTTATTTGCCTTTTGGTTTTTTAACCTGTAGAGTTTCCATTTTCAAGCCTATCTCCACATCCATGAAACTAGCAATTTACTTTTTTTTTTTAAATGAAAGTAGAGATTCTGTTGCACTCACATGACTTCAGAGCCTAGAGTTTTAAGAAAGGCATCAAATATATAAAAAAAATCATCATAAAAATCTCAAGAACTGGCAACATTCCCTCAAACGGTCTCTGAAGCACAACAGCTGGGCACACGCCCAAGGTGAAAGGGGAAGTTAGCTTCCATGGCCAACTCAATCCTTGGGCTCTTTGCTGAGACTTCCAAACAGAGGCCAGTTGCAGGGATGTGTTTTTTGAGATGTTGAGAGTGGCTGCTGAGAACTCACCAAACTCATTTCATACAAGCCAACTAACAACTTTCAGTCATTAATAACCTGGGCTGTGTTACACCAGCAACCTGGAGGTAAAAGGCTTGGGAATCCCTCTCATCAACCACCCCCTAGCTCCCTTTGCTTATATTTTAATTCATTTGAAAACAGACCTCAGAATTGTTAGTGTCCTCGGCTTCCTCCCTCTCCACAAACTCGTACGTCACATAGTAGCTGTGAGTGATCACTGGAGACTCTGGGCCACTTTCCAGCTCCTCTGGCTTGCTGGGGTTGGGGACGCCTTTGATTTTCCCAACATTCACCACCAGTTGTGCTTTATTCCCAATGAGATCTAAGAGGAAGACAATCCAGCCGTCGAGTTACAATGTACATTCTCCAGGATGGAATTTGAGATACTGTACCAAAGCAAATTAAAGGACTACTTGTGGCACCTTAGAGACTAATAAATTTATTTGAGCATAAGCTTTCGTGAGATACAGCTCACTTCATCAGATTTCCTAAGCAAATTAGGAAACTAAGGGGTCAAATATTTTAGTGGAAGGGCTGTTTGGCAGGGGGGAATCCTCTAAGATATGTCTACACTGCAGTTGAGAGGTATGGCTGCAGCAAGCATAGACACAAGCTAGCTAGGTGAAAACACAGCCTAGTTCCACCAAGGAGCAACCAGTTTAGTTCCTGATCCATTAATGCCAAGGCAACCACTGGCCACATGGGGTCACTCAAAAACTATGCAAAGAGCTCCCTTTCCCCAGGTAATGGGCTTGCTGCCTTCACAGCTCTATTTTAGCCTTCTAGACCCTCATTCAGGAAAGCAAGTTCAGTGCTGTCCTGAACAGGGGCCTTAACGAGAGGCTTTCCTTCTGCGGGAACCTTTCAAACATCTGACTTTAAATACAGTTAAGGGGATTTAAGCACTTGCTTAATTATTTACACGCTGAAAGTTAAATGTATGAACATATTTTCTTGAATCAGGACCCTAATCTACCAGCATAGAGCAGCAACCTTGAGTGGGAAAGGCCTGATCTAAAATCAAATGCAAGCCTAGGCAATAAGGGCTTGCTCATGCTCAGCCCAGCTGATTTTATTTCCCTTGCAGGGAGGCCAGAATGCGGAACTGGAGACAGCATCTCTCTTGGATGGCAAAAGACTGAAGTCACAAAGAGAGAAAAGTAGGATTTTATCACAGCTGGGCTGTGGGTCTGAAATCCAAGAACTGCAGATCTTTGTTTGATTAACAGCTAAAGACCAAATTCTCTCTCTCTAGGTTTTTATAAGGCTGTCTTTCACCATGGTGCCTGTTCTGGGATGCATGAGCGAAGTTCCATTGGTATCAATGGAAGTTGTGTATGCATAATCCAGATAGATTCTTCACCCAGGAATATAGAGAAATAATAAGAATAATGAAGACTACCTAGCTCTCACATACTGCCTTTCATCTCTAGCTCTCAAAGCACTTTACAAAGGAGGTCAGTAAATATCAATATCCCCATTTTACAGATGGCTAATACTAGCCAAGAGAAATAATTGGTTGTATAAAGTTCTCAACCATCTTCTATTTTGCCCAAATGTAAGAATTTAGAGAGAGTTTTAGAGGATACATCAAGACGCTTAACATTTATTAATCCTCACAGCCCATCCCCAGATAGGTATGTGGGAACAATTATCCTCATTTTACAGATGGGTAAATTAAGGCAGAGAGAAGGGGGACTAACTTGATCACAAGCAAACAGGAAGCCATCAATGAGTCTAGAATGAAAACTGAGGACCCCTGACTCCCAGTCCCATACTCAATACACTACCCCAAGATGTATAAAAAAAATTACAGATTACTACGGAGATATTTATACAATAAAGTCTCACCTGGCTTGCTAGACAGACCATGGAACTGATGCCTCTCATCAGGCGATATGTTCCTATCGTCCAGTATACAGAGTTTGGGCAGGCTGTCTATTACAAAACCTCTATAGCCAGGAATGAGCACTAGTGGGTTACCCTGGAGCACAAGCGTTCTGAGCCTCCGCAGAGTAGCCAGTTTAGAGACTATGCCCAACAGATCCGTAAAATTATTAAAACTTAGGTCAAGAGAGAGAAGATTTGGCCTAAAAGAGAAGAGAACAGTGTTAGGGTGTGTAACAAGCAGCATTCAGGTCAGTATATAGGGCCCAGCCTGGAGTCTAAGCAGAGCTCTCACTGAAGTCAATGAACCCAATGCATTTTACTTGGGCCACTGCATGGTAACAACTTGGAACTGCAGGAGAATGAAGATGGATTCAAACTGGGAACCCACAAGTTACATGCTCAATATGCTACTGACAAACCTCTGAGCTGTCCAGGCCATCCCTGGCATGCTACACACAGGACAGCTGACTAGCGTACAGTATCCTTTCCTAGCACAGGGTCTAATCCGCAGGCCCTTATTCAGGCAAGACTCATTAAAGACTTCAGGATGTTCCCCTTTGAAAATGCAGATTGAAACAGGAGCAGAGGAATTGCCATACAATCAGAGCCATGCTCCACCCAATCCCGAATCCTGTCTCTGACAGTGGCCAGGACCAACTGCTTCAGAGGAAAGTGCACAATTAGTGGATAATTATGAATAACCTACACAGGATGGAAGCTGTTTCCTAGCCCATCTGTTCATGGTTGGTTTGTGCCCTGAAGTATTTCATCTCTAAACTAATTCAATGCACCCTGCTTGCTATAGCTATTAAGACATAAAAGATAGAACAGACTAACTCAGGTGTGTGAGCAGCTCCTACCCAGGTGCTTTACACTAGCTACTTTAACTGATGCTGTGTGTCACTCTTCAGGGCAACCACACCTGTATTTCCTCTCAGTGCTCCTCCAGGCCACCCAGTCTCAGGCTTCCAGGTCCCCAGCCATTTTCCTTTCTAGGTGGAGACCTGCATCTATCTCCCTTCTGACCGGGGTATTTCTAGGCTGCACAGTTCCCTGACTACACTGGGTTAATCCCAGCACAGCCAGGCCACCCAAGGACACCTGATGGCTTTCTCTTCAGAGATAGTTAACAGGTGCCACAGGTTAGAAGGTACCACACAGCACTTCCTATACAAGCCTACTTTATTCTTAAGGTAAAAACACTATGGAGAAAATATATTAAAAACAAGAACCTACACACATGCTAATAAGCTTACCAGAGATCACCCGAGCCTCAACCAGGCTCTGGCAGGAGCAGTTCTTCAATACCCCATCTGTGGGATTTCCTTTGCAGTCACAAGTTCATCCGTGCTTGAGCTCAGAACAGATGCATGGTTTTATGTGGTCTCAGCAGGCCAAATCCTTCCAACCCTCCCCTAAGGATTAGGGCCCTCCATAGACCAGGGGTCCTGTCTGTTTGCTGGATCAGAAAGGGCCCTGAGCCAGTTTAAAACCAGGCTATTTATCCAAAAGTCCTTTCTTCATCTGTTGGTCCTTGGAGAATCCACTTTGAACTAGCATATGCAGCTTCTCCAGGGAGGTGGCTTCAAATGGCTGACAACAGAGGAAGTATATTAGCATCTTCCTTCCTACTAGAGAAGGTACAGATAATTCCACCATAACATGTACACAATTGCATTTTTAATGCAATGGGCCCCCAAAGGTATTAACCCTACTTCAATAAGGTTTTACTTAGTTCAATAAAGTTAGTTTAGTTCCATCAGGTTTGTTCAGGATATTATGATATTGTCAGGCAGTCACGCTATGGTCCCTTTAGTGTTGGGAGTTACCAGAATTCTGCTGTGAGATATTTATCCTCGGAAGAGCCCAACAGCCTGTTGTAGCCCAGCCCCAAATGCTGGAGTTCCGGAGGTGGGAGAGAACACAGACTCTGCAAACCAACAATCTCATTGCCACAGAGCTCCAAGACCTGCCAGAGAAAGAGGAAGCAACAGTTATTGGGGGAGGGAAATGATGCTCTAGAGGTTTTAAGTGTCTTTTTCTATGTGTTCCTTCTGCTGTAGCCCACTACGGTCCATTCAGTCTGTCCGAGGCAGAAGAGAGACTCATCTTGACACACCTTCTCTGTCTGGCCTCCCAAAGAAAGAGTCAGGAACCTGCTTATTTACCTTCAGTGTTCTAGGAAGGTTGGCAGAGTTTATTTTGCTGATTTGATTGGCACTGAGTATGAGCTCTTCCAGGTTATGAAACTTCAGCAAATTTTCATCAACTTCATTTACCTAGAAAGAGATTCACATTCACCTTCAGTCAGCTGTCTCTGAAGCACAGATGTATCTTAGCATGACAATACAGCACACAGGGCAACATCAGTGCCTGATTCTATGGTTCTCACAAAGGCAAAACTCCCACTGGCTTCCAAGTAAGATTTCTATCTGATTTCCTCTAATCCAACCTGTTCAGGTTGCTTTATCGTAGTATCCAAGCACCTAAGTACATTTGTTTTGCCTGAATAAGAACTGCAGGATCACACCCATATTTTGTACAAATTGTGGGGTTGATCTTGAGATGCACTGGTCACCTGCAGCTCCCTGATTTCACCAGAGGCTTTGGGTGCTCAGCATGTCAGAGGATCAGGCCCTAGAGCTCCTAAAATGATTCTCAGAGTTACAAAACAGAGTTATACAAGGTGGCAGCAGAGGGAGAGAGAGGCAGATGAAACACGGAATGTGGTGGAGAGTGAATGAGGTGAAGGGACATCTGGAGGCACTCTGATCATTACTGATTATTGGTTCTCTTCCTCCCTAGGAACAGGCCCGCAGACAACCAGTGTTTAGGGGGTGCAGCATCTACAGCAGTTTCATTCCCTCTCCAGTATGTTTACTTGATAATCTGAACAGGAAACAGACCCAGCCTCCCAATCCCTTCTGTCAAGTCTTAATGAGTCTTTGGACAACATCTAACATCACCTGAGCCTGTTTCAGGAAAGCCCTTAAGCAAATGCTTAAGGCCACCCATATTCAGGGCAGCATTTAAACATGTGCTTAATTCCCAGTGAATTGAATGGGACACAAGCACATGCTTACAGTTCAGCATGTGTTTAAGTGCTATCCTGAAGAAGGGTGCTTTCCTCAGTCAAGGCCTTAATGCTGGACTTTTCTTATGGATAAATAAATGGGGTGAAAATGATCATCACCCCTGTTGGGATGGGTTTGCTGATATTACTGAGACATGTTTGAAAACTATAAAAAAATATAATGATATCACTGTTTCTGAAAAGCTCTTGTGAGATGTATATTTGTATATCTTGCCCATCACAAAGAGAATACAATGTTCAGGTTTGATTTGTTTTCTAGAACAGGAAGGTTATGGCAGCATCTTATCAGAGCACAAATCTGTGAAGAAAGGGGCTGAATGACAGCTATAACACTTAGCCCTCACACAGCACCAGGCAGTGAAAGCCATTGAACAAAACTGTAAACCCTGTATAAAACTGGAAACCACTTCAAGCCAGGGGATACTGCCACAGCCCCAGCATCCCCAGCTTCAGTACCCTTGGCAACAGTTGGATATTAATTAAGGAATACTTACAGCTCTTCTGTGAGATAGGAACATAGTAGCATCTACTTTATATGTGGGGAAACTGAGGCAGAAAGGCTCCGTGACTTGGCCAAGACCACAGAGGGAGGCAATGTCAGAGCTAGGATTACAACACAGGAGTTCCTGGCTCCCAATCTTGCACTAAGTCTTTCTCTACATTTTAACAATAGTGAAGATCCCGCTGGTTGAACTCACTCCTTTATCCACTATCCTTAAGGACCTGAAGAACAAGAAGATGAAGTTGTCCCGGATAAGCTGCGGCGATTGTACTGCCAGCTCCCTCAGGTGCTGATCCTCGGGGCTGCAGTCAGGTGGCAGAGCCCAGGGGGAGTCCTGGCTGCTCACAAACTCCATTAAGGTCTCCAGGCTCTCTTCACCGGGAGTTCCAATTTCCTGGTGCTGGGCTGTGCCTGCATCTGCATCTCTCTGGGCTGCATTTCCTCCAGGTTTCCTTTTCCTTAATTCGAAACGGGACCTGTTCTACATAGGCAGAAGGGGAGCGCATGTGCAGAGGAATGAGGGCAAACTGAGAATTTCTGGGGCTCTGGGCCTGGCAGACCCTGTCTGCTGGGGATAAAAGGGCTGGGCCTTTTTAAAAACCAAATTTAAACCATCTGAGGTGTCTAGGTCCATTCCCCACCTCCATATGCACATAGGCCTCCAAGTGCCGTAGGATGATCCCGGCTCCTTGAGTAGGGTGACCAGGCAGCAAGTGTGAAAAATCAGGACGGGGGGGGGGGGGGAGGGGTAATAGGAGCCTATATAAGAAAAAGACCCAAAACCCAGGACTGTCCCTATAAAATCGGGACACCTGGTCACCCTATCCTTGAGCGTTCAGTCTGCAGCACAGCTGGCCCCCAGGGGCCACTGCAGCACCCCAAGGCGTGTGTTTGGGGGGCACTCGGCCTCTCACCGCCCGTGACACAGCGCCTCGCCGATGCCGCCGCTCTCTGGGCGCAGGGACGCTGCCCGCAGGCCCATCTGCAAAGCCACGAACAGGCTGCGGCCGCCGGGCTGCACCCCCCGGCCAATGTCCTGGGCGGACGCGCCCCCACCGCAGACAGGGCTCCCCGCTGGAGCCAGTGCAGGGGATACTGGGGGTGCTGGTGACACTGGGCACTGCCGGGACCCCCCTTTTCTCCAGGCCCTGCCCAGGCAGCCCGGCTCCGCTGCCGCAGGACCAGGAGCTGCCCCCTCCGTGTCTCTGTGGCTTGGGGGGGGGGTCTCTGGCCCCCAAGCGAGGCTGCGCAGGGGCTGGGGTGCGAGGCAGCCCCCCCGCCCCGCTGCACTGGCCGGTTGCCGGACGACGCCCCCGCCAGGTAGGAGCCCTCACCCAGCTGCCGGCGCCGCAGGGGAATTCGCCCAGGCACAGCCGGCGGAGACGCTCCCGGAAGGCGGCGGAGGCGCTGAGGCCGCCCATGGCTTTGGAGCCGCCGCATGCGGCCGGCCGGGGCCTGTGGCAACACCGCGTCCCCAGTTGCTAGGAGACTGACCTGGTTGCTAGGTAACAAACCCCCTCCCCGCCCCCGTGCCCCTCCCCGCCGCCGCCGCCGCCGCGTCCAGGGCAACGGTAGCCCGGGGCGCGGGCGCCGCCGACCCGCGCAGCCCCGCCCGCGCGGGGTCTCTGCAGGCGCACGGCAGCCGAAACCCCTGTGCACGCACGTTGCCCCCAGGGCTGCTGGAACAGTTTGCGGAGTGGGGGTGCTGGGAGCCACTGAGCCAAACTGTAAACCCTGTCCAGGAGGGACACCACTACGAGCCAGGGGGTGCAGCAGTACCCCACTGCCAGCACCTGTGATTGCAACCGCAGCAGCTCCGTGCACTTGGCGATGGCAACGGAGCTGCCCACGGCGCAGCCCGCACACGTCTGCCCAGGCGCTGTCGTCGCACGGCATCTGCACCCACAGGGTCTCTGCACCCACATTGCCACCGCACCGCAGCTGAGCGTGCAACAGCCTGCGTTGGTACCCTGTGCGCGTGTTCCGGCACTTGCTCAGCCGTTTTATTCCTCGACGTGCAGTGAACAGCTGTATATACTCTCGCCTCCAGTGGAATTGTTTATTGCAGTATCTACAGTACATGCAGTGAACTATCCAATGAAGGAATCAAAGGCCTTTTGAAGGTTGGTTGGTTGCTTGTTTATGAAGTGATTGAAAACGCCGCAGCAATTATTGAGTATGAGATCCAGAGAGCTTGAGGGAGCAGGACTTCACAAAGGGCTCGAAGCTATGGAGTAGGTTAAATGATGGGCCACAAAATGATTAACCAGTAAATACAAATGTGAAAATATATGGGGTGGGGAGAATACATTCCCTGACAGAGAAGTTATCGAACAACTGGATCCAGGTTTGAGATCGATTAGGAGGAGATTTGCTCTGGCTTTTCCCTTGCAATTAAATCAAGGTTTATAGGACTGTAGTAAAATACTGCAGAGTAAAACGACACAGTATTGATGATGTCAGCTTGTGGCATCCATTCCCCCTTCTTGCCCCCCCCCACTCCCTGCTACTGTAATGTGACCAGTGGTGTTTCTGTACTTGTGGAGACAGGGTGGTTGGCTGTGGGGAGTATAACATGTACTGCTTGTAGCTTTAAAAACACATGTGCTCAAGTAGCAGTAGTGGCCGAGCCAGGTTTTGCAACCTGGGGGCAATGGGTAGTGGGACGGAGAATGAGCCTGCCCCACACTCACCCGGCAGTAGCAGCTCCTGTGGGGCTGGGACTGACTCTCCACGCTGGGAATTGTGACCTGCTGCATGGGGTCACAGTGCCATTCGGATTTGGACTGGCCACTGTTCCATCATGATGGAGGGCATTGTAACATAGTGCACAGGGTCCCCATGCACCACATTGTAATGGCCAGAGTAGGAGCCAGGCCCCCGGGACAGGAGCTGTAGCAGTCAGGTGAGAGCAGGGCGAATTTGCTCCCCAGCCCAGCATGAATATTCGTGTTGTACACCTCTTTTTGTCAGTTGCATAGTATACTTGAAAAAGTGCCACCCACACACCTAAAGGCTGCTGGGGGAGAGACGATAGCCCCTCTGGCCCCTTATTAGCTCCACCACAGTCCAGCAGCTGTCCAACCCCTCTGCTTTTCAGCCTGGAATGCGTGGTGTCACAAGGCGCCAGCAAAGAACCCAGCTACACAGTCAAATGTGAGGATGAGTTGGGCCACTTGGGATTATTTACGATTATCAAATATTTCTACTGCACAGCAAATCATGCTAGACAGTTTATAGTACAACTAGAAAGACTTGGGCTTCTTTCCGGAAGTTCTTGGTCTAATTAATAGTAAAATGAATACTCTAGATTGTGAGCTTCAAAAATTCCCCTCTTTAGGGATCTTTCAAACAAGCTTTTAATTGTCCATAAAACGCCAGTGGATCAGTTTTCAATTACTCTACTGTACATAGGGGCTACACAGGGGAACATTGTACCTCCCAGTTAGGCAGCTCTCCAGGACAGATGCTGATCTGTCATCTTATCAGCATGACACAGCATTGCTTATTGCAGATAGCTATGGAAGGATGTGCAAAGGGAGCCGCATACACACAAGATAGTGGTTTGGGGTGGAAGAACCATACCAATAGCTTATCCCCAGTTGAGTGTAATGTAGTGAATCCTGCTATTCATCTCTGAGAAGCTGAAACACCAAAGAGCATCAGTAGCACAGAGAGATTTTCTGGATCAGAGCCAGTTATTTATTATCTGTTTTACCAGAGCTCATCAGGGCCCTACTCATAGACCAGGACTCCACTCTGCGAGGTGCCGTACAAACATCAAACAAAAAAATGATTCCTGCCCCAAAGAGGTTACAAGCTAAGTACAAGACAATAGACAACAGATGATACAGTGCAGTCAGATGGGGGAGTGCAAGGAAACATCGAGACACCATTGGTCAGCATAATAAGCAGGGGTCTCAGCACACCAGCAGCCTAATCATTGTCAAATTTTCGGTTGGCATCACAGCAAAGGAGGGGTGGGGTTGAAGGAGGATGAAGAGGCAGCTTTACAGATGTTTGCAGGGAGCTCCACCTAAGTGCTTGTTTGAAACGTTAACAAGAGTGTGGTGGAGGTTGGCTTCAGGGGCTGATCAGAGGCAGGAGTCGACAGCTTGCTCATGAATGAGAGGTGATGGGTAGGGTGGAGATAGGCCGGGTAGGGCCTTGGAAGTGAAGCCGAGCAGCAGAAGAGGTATGTTTTGATGGTACATTGTGAAATGAAAGACGTGCAGGATACCCACAGACTGGATGGAAAATAATTAAACAGCCTGAGCACACAACACCTTTACTCGCTTTCCCATCTTCCCAGATCAGACCTGCCCTGCTGAATTACAGGCACTCTTCTACTTCCCCGTCTCAGACCTGCCTGCAGCACTGGGAGCTCTCTTGCTTTCCCGTCTCAAAAAGAGAGGGGCTGGTCCAATGATTAGGGAACTAGCCAGGGCATGGGAGACCAAGGTTCAATTCCTTTGTTTGTGACCTTGGGCAAATCGGTTAGGCCCAGATCATCAAAGGTGTTTAGATTTCCAACTTCCATTGATTTCAATGGCCTTAGCTTCTCTGTAACTCAGTTCCCCACCAGCAAAACAGGGTGTTGGGAGCAATGCCCTGCTTCACATGGGTGTTGGGAGGTTATGTATGTTACAGAGTGTGAGGGTCTCAAGAGGGGGTCCATAGAAGTACCTTAGATAGCTCTCCTTGCTGTGTTCTGCAGCCTGGGTCAGATGGGCTCACATGATGGGTGCCCACAGGCCACTGGTTGGTCCAACTCAGCTCTTAATCTGGCAAAGTGGAACAGCTGCACCCAAAAAGTTTGTGAGCCTCCGTCCTAAAGCATTAATTTGACAGCTTGAAAAATAACAGCACCCTAAGAGTTAAAGCCTAGTAAGTTACATTTGCGTAGCACAAGATGAGAAGAGTTACAGCCCTTCACTTATGGGTCCCTGTCAGCTTTGATTGACTCTTTCAGGACAAGGACTTGCTCTGATGGTCGCAATGCTAGGAAAGCCTTGATGTCCATAGTCTCTCTTAGAAGAAATAACTGCCTTCCTCAAAACACACAATGGCTATGAAGTCTTTCAAAATGATCACTGCAAGACTTCCATGCCATCCTGAGGCTCAGATATTCCTGTCTTTGTCTTCTTTGTGTTAATCCCAACAAATGGGATCCCCTTTATGAGTCCTCTCCCTCCAAAGTCCTCTGTCCAATGCCATAGCCTTTATTATACCACGTCTTCCTTTATGACATCCCACCCCTTCTTCTTGGGTCAGCCTCTCTTTTTCCTTCATCCTTAATCTGTAGAACTCTCTCACCTACATAGTTGTCAGCACTGCATTGTACGTAACCAAACCATCTGAGCTTGCATTCCCTCATTTTTTCTTGTATTAGTATTACTTCTGAGCAGGTCTCTAACTCACACATTCCTCACATGGTTTTTCTTGCATATAGACCTTATCCATCTCAACATTCACTTTTCTGTGGAACAGTTCATTTGCTTATGTTCCTTCTTTGTTGCCCAACAATCAGTGCCACACATTAAAACTGTATGGGGCCACTGTTGTATAGACTTTCTCTTTTCATCTTTATGATATCTCCCTGTCACATACTACGCCACTTAACTCTGTCAATTTGAGCCAGGTATCTATTATCCTAGTTCTTATTTTCATCCTCCATTTCCCCATTTTCCAGGGTTCTGGAACCTAGATACTTTAAATGTCATGTTTTTGGTATTTTCTGCCCATCTAGTTTCAAGAATAATTCTTCAATGTTCATATTATTTAAAATACAGACCATATACCTGACCCCAAGTCTGGCAATCAGCTGGACCCTGACCATGTGAGCAAGAGTCACCATCTAGGCATCTAAGGAAGAAGATTTTATGTCCGTGGCCACTGTCCTGACTCAAGTTGAGACCCGTCTCTGATGGGGTAAAAAACAAACAAACCGAAACAACAAAAACCCCAGAATTCAGCTGGCCAGTTGTACATTGGGGGAGAAATTCCTTCCTGACTCTGGAGTAATTTCATCACCTTACACCAGGGTAACAGAGAGACTATTTTCCTATTCTACTTTGCGTCCCTTTTCTTTAGAAATTTCCTGTCTCGAGGCCATTTCTTCAGTTCTCCTTTTCTGGATCTGTGTGGCCACATACTCAGAAACCGTCCTTTTGGAGATTTAATCTCATTGAGCGGGGTATTTCCCAAGGAGCTCTGGTGTTTCTCTTTCCCCCTCATAAGTAGGTCAGGCCTTCAGTTTTGGGTCACATTTTCTGATTTGGGGAAAATGGAAAGACTTGATCAAGCTGACACTAAAGAAAAAGTTCTTGCCTTTCACCGTCTTTCACCTCATTCTTCTTAGACTGGTTATCTCACATCTGTGCTCTAATCTGTCATTTCCTTTTAAGGTTCTGTCCCTCACTGATTCATTTTCTTTTAGTTCCTGCATATCACTTCATATTTTCTTGCTTAACTTCAGGAGTTCAAAGAAAT